TCCCTCCCTCCCTCCCTCCCTCCCAGGACCTGCACCCAGCAGCAGCCGTAGGAACGCAGGACTGCAGGCACTGCCGGGGCTGGGCAGGCTGCAAAATCGCAGGAACGTAGGACTGCAGGGCTGCGGCCTCGGGAACATTCAAAGTATTACCTTCCATGCTAAAGCAGTTTCACGGACAATCGGATTTAGTGTCAGGGGAGGTTTTCTTTTGATCAGGGGGAAGGGATTAAAATGATTAAGAGTGCTGTGCACGCGCTTTTGTGACCGACTACAGTCTACAGGCCCTTGCCAGCAGGAGCCTCGGCAGCACAGCGCTCTGTTTTCGGTTCTTCAGCTCGCGCGCTCCTGGGGCATGGGAAGCATGTTTTCCTCGCCATCACGGCTCGCCGTGCCAGAGCTGCTGAGGATTGGCGAAAAGCGCGCAGTCACATCGGTGGCCAAAGGTTCGCAGTCAATGGTGATTACACCTGCCCCAAAGTCCGGGCATCTCCAACACAAGCGGAATTCTGTCCACTGAAAACCAAGTAGATTGGTGTTGATGAGTGAAGAAGACAGAACCTTCCGCTGACATCATCGTTTCCACTTCGAGAGCGTGCCTCCGTCAACACCTGCATATGTTGCCACAGAGCGCAGCCCATGCGCGATTGCGGCCATTCAAAAGCCACGCTGAGAGAGTCGGCCGATCGGTTTTCCGATGCCCAGTCGTGTGTGCCTGTTCGCTGTCAATGTGTCTCGGAAATCAGGTAGGGTGCTCTTGGCGAGAGGGCAGCCGCCTGGCCTTGGCCACGCAGCTTCAGTTTCATCGAGCTGGCCACGGCATGCCCCATGTGCCTGTACTACCAAGGAAACACAAGGGCAGTTCTTCAAGCCACCCATGTCTGGCCTCGTCTTCTCGCTGAAAAGGAGGCTCAAACGGGAGTTGAACAACTTCACCGTGACGGCAGCATGTACCTGCCGCAACAGTTGGCATCATACAGTCCTTTGTTGAGAGAGCTGCTAGAAGACTTTTCTTGTGTGGGTTAAGGCCGGCTAGGCTGACCAGAGTGGTCGTGCCATCAGTAGTGAGATCCTCCTTACACTCGCCCTTACAGTCGGCGAAGTGGCAGGACGCTCAGCAGGAGTGCATCACTGCCCGGGGTGGATGGCCGACGGCCCAGAAGTAGCGCATCATGCGATGCTGGAAGAGCAAAACGAAGTCTGTCCAGGTCGGCTGTGTCCACTCAGGTATGGCTTCTTCCAAAAATGCTAGCACATTGAAGCTCGATGAACGCGGCGCGCAGCTGGGCTTGCTCAGGAACCGTATCTAAGCAGCTTGTTGACAGGAAGATGTGAGACATCAGTGAACGATGAATTTGACACGATGTGGATGCAGCACAAGGTTTCCTTGAGGCTCTCTGGGCCACCGTGCTGTTGGGGTGGCCATGGTTTCGAGCTTGGGAAGATGGTTTGCGCGTCGACCTCTGCTCCAGCATTCGTCGGCCACTGCGCTTCTCTGAGGCTTTGAGCTTGTGCACCAGGGCCATGGAGCTGGGAAGTGCGTTTGGGACGTTTGTCAAATGGCGCTCTGTTTGAGCGCATGCACGTGAATTCTGCGCCACTCCATGCGCTGGGTCACCGGCTTGTGCCGAAGGTGACAGGCTCCAGACCGACCGTGTTGGACTGGCATCATTGCATTTTTCAATCAACCCGAGAAAGAGTTGGCAGTACAAGGAGCAGCATGCTTGCCTGTCAGAGTGTATTTCAGCTGGCGTATTACAAACATCCGATTCTGACTGCTCTTGCGGCGGGTTTCCGACGAGGATTTTGAACATGCTTATGTGACTCCGAAGCGCACTGAAAAACCACAGTATCAAACTCCTCGAGACTTGGCGCTGTCTTTGAGAAAGATCTGACATGCGTCGCGCATTGCGCACACAAGAAGTGAAGCTCGGAACTAGAAATTAGCGCTTGTGATGCCCCGGACCTGCCATCAAAATGCTGCTCTTCTTGTGTGCTGTCTGTCGGTTGAAAGCGCACCTCAAATCTGCAGCCGTTGCCAAGTGATGTGCCAAGATGAGGTCGGATTCTGTGCAGGGAATCACAAAGTGCACGCCCTGCAAGGTGTAACGCACGTGACGTGTGCCACAGATGAAAAATGAGTGGTTCCAGCGAAGCTGCAAAGACACGGTCTGCTGGAGTCAAGTCTGTGGGTTGCAAAGCTCCAGTTCAGGCATCTGGAGTGATGTGACGAATGCTACTGAGCGGCTGTTTGCTGCTGTGCATGTCTGTAGCGCTGGTTTTTGCCCGAACCTCGAGAGAGCGAGAGAGAGAGAGAGAGAGAGCAGTATTTCTGTGCGAGTCGTGTCTGGGATAGGAAGAGTAACAAAAAGAGCGCAGTGTTCCTGAGGTGTTACTGGGCACACCGGTTGGTAACCAGGAATTGTATCGTGCAGAGTTTTGCCGAACTCTGCTGCAACGTTCTTGATGGGAGAGCAACTGCTGCGCGCTGAAGTTCAGGCTTAGCACCCTGCTTGGATCATGAAGAGCTATTGACCAAACACAGCTGAGATGACTGTGCAGATTTGAGCAGCCCGGCAGGCGATACGGGAACGGCTGAGTGCGCACAGGACATGGTTGCAGCGTCTGGACGTCGAGGCTCGGTTGAGTCACAACTTAATCTGCGGGCCGCAAATCGGACCTGCAGCCGTGGTCGTGGGCTGGATGAGTGCGCACGCAGGACAACATGATCGAGCTGAAGATAGCAATGCAGGGCAACGCTCATCGCCTCCGTTTCCTTGTGTACGAGGACGAGACGCTGCTCCCTAAGTCTGCTTTGCATATTCAGCGCAGCACTTCACATTTTCCTGGAGCAGGCCGATGCGTACCCGAACAGTGGAGGTATGATGATGAGCGAGGCTGGCCGCGGTTGTGCTACCAGACTGTGATGCATCCCTCCTACAGTTGACAGTTCCGCTCAGAATGGTATTGGAATCACTGCACATTGCACATCTTGAGTTTGCATCAGTACGTGGCTCATCGCGGAAACCGGCAGGTTGTGCATAGAGGTATGGACATCTTGATGTAGTATCAATCGCTGGCAATCTTCCGCGCATGCTCACTCCGCACTCTAGTGCGTTTTGAAGTCATCCGGCGAACGGGCAACACAGGACGATGCAGATTCAGACCTAGTGGAAGCAGCTTGGCTGATGTTGGCAATCCCGGCAGAGGTCGCCGGACCTTTTGTTTGTGCATCTCGTGTCACATCAGAAGGAGCCAAAAGCACGGTTCACACGATCCACCATGCCACCGGCATCACAGCCCATTCGGCAAGGCCATCAACACTCTCTTGACCGCGGAATCCTTGACGGTCATGGATGTGTTGCGGGCCGCATCGCAAGCAAGCAAGGCACGAGACCTACAGCCCGTCGAAGGTCGCATAGTGGCATAGTCGTCGCAGCAGTGTTCTTTGCAAAGTTTTGATTTTGCCGTGGAGGTGTCGGACAAAGACCTCCTTGCTTGTTTGGATGATGGTACGGGAGATGGTTTGCAGGATCGGCCGGTGCTCCGAGCTTCAACAGGAAATTTGCTTTGGTGTGTATGTGGGCCAAAATGTGGGCACTAGGACCAGCGGCACTCCGACGCCGATGGAAGCTTTGCCTTCGAGGGTGACGATGAAGGATGCGGGAACGTTGGCCATGGCTGCTGGAGACATGTAGCATGTGCAGGGACAGTTTGTTGCAGATAGCTGGCTTTCACACTGCCAAAGTTGCTGGGCATGTTCTAAGCTCGAGTAAACCCTTGCACTGCGTGCCTTGATAAACCACAAAATGCGAGGAGATTTGTGCATCGAGGCGCCCTCAGAGCGCTCAGAGCGCCCTGGCTGGAAGAAGATGAAGTGGCAGGCCGCCGATGGACTCGATGGCTGCTGTGTTAGAACCTGCTTTGGTGGTCCATGCAGTTGGCGAAGAGTGTCGATTCTTCTCTGCAGGAAGTGGAGGACCAAAGATTGGAAGACCAACGCCTGGCGACGCAGAAACGGCGAAAAGGTGCGGAATCGATGAACAACGAAGAGCTCAAAGCCAAGACGGAGCAGATCTTCAACTCCTCCGAGGCCGAGTTGGCCGAGGACAGGAGCTAGAAGAGAGTCACTACTTGCTGCAGGCCTTCAACATCCTGTCGAACGAGCTCTTTCAGCTTCAGACGCACATGCCTTCCGGCAGAGACAGTTATGTTATGTCTGAACATCATATCAAGTTATTGCGTGTGCAGCGTGCGGGAGTGCCTGTCGGAGTTCTGCAAAGTCCTGAAGAGATAGCGAGAAGCCGCCAGGTAGGCCAGTAACCTGGGTTGGCTTCTTTTAGAGTCTGCGACTCCGGGTATTCGTGCAAAGATTCTGAGGACAGCTGGTCTTGAAGCCGATGCCATTGACTTCAATGTCCACAGCTGGGTGGGCTTCTGTCAGCACGTTGTCAGGTCCACACGGTGTAGGACCGTAGGACTCCACCTCGCAGGTCGTAAAGCTGCGTGGATTTTCGAATGGACTTTCGGAGGACTTGAAAGAGCTGAAGGCACGTTGTGGCTCCCTGGCACGTGTGTGTCAGCCAGCTCTGCTTCTGCGCGAAATCGGCCCTGGCTTTGTTGTTCTTCCGAGTCCTCTTCAGATGGGTCTCCTCAAGGTTACGACTACGTGGAACTACGAATAAGCTTCCGGGAGGACGCTGTCGCACGGTTGCTGTTGTCCAGTAAATGCCGAAGCCGATCGTTAGAACAAATTCCGAAATCTCCTCCAAAACACACACAGGGATCGAGATTTTGGTGCAGGATCTTTATCCTTTCTACCCTCCTTCGGTATCCATCGTGCGGCCTCGGTTGCTGGGTAGATGCTTGGCATCTACGTACGAAGCCATGTTAGTACGGGCAAAGAGCTGACAGAGTTGCTGAACAGTCACCGATCTTTGGGTTTCAAGTTGAAAGTCCTGGGCAAACCAGGGACGAACCCCCGTTTTGGCTCAAGGACACGACGTGCAGGCAGCGTTGGCTTGCCATCCACGGCTCCAGCTTAAGGGCTGGAGCCCCTTTCAGCGCCTCGGCCAAGACAGCCAGCAAAGGACACAGTGCCCTGTGTTTGCCCAGAGTTTCAGACGCAGGCCCAGCTGCCCAGCATTTCATGACCAGGCAGCAGCTGTGCAGCATCTTCCATGCTCATTCCAGAGGTCGTCCAGGGACATGCTCGTCTCCATCCGCAGTTTCCTGGATCGGGTGGCTCGCGACTTGCCTTCGTTCGATCTATTGTCGTCGACGAAACCAGGAGCAGATTATTCAGGATTTGCCGGCCCAGGAGTGGATCTGGAAAGCGACAGGAATACAATTGTCGATTTTCCTGAGGCCTCGGACACCACAGCATATATCGTGGCAGCATTCTTTGAGTGTGCAATCCTTTCGCAGGGTGCTTTCTCCGTGGTGGAGCAGCAGCTCGGGCTTCTGCGCGAGCGCCCCATAGTCTCAGACCAAACTGCTGTACCTGAAAAGCCTCCTGTAAGGTCGTCTTCGGGGCATCGTACCTTTAGATCTTCGACCTGAGACTTTGGGCAATGCTTATGAGGCCCTTGAAAGGAGAGGTCCTGCTGCGCTCTGAATTCTGTGTCCTGCCAGGATGACCCTTGGGCACAGAATCTCGGCTTAATCTGTGGAAGGACTGAGCAGGAGGTTCGCCAGGCAGAGCCTCAGCAAAACGGGGTGAACAGCACCAGCAGCCCTGCAAGTGATGGTGCGAAGTGGAGTTGTGTTCTGCCGTTTTTCCATGTGCGATGTCACGACAATTTCAGCATGAAGGCCAAGTAACGGCGTTTGTCGAAGAACTTCTCGTGCCGAATGGACCCGAAAGAAGACAGCCGCCTGCGGCCAGGAGTGAAGAGCTACAATCAAGCTCTTTCAGTGCCATGCTCTCCGGAGGCGCCAAGACCCATGCGAGACCTTTAAGGGATTCTTGCCAACCTATGCGAGGCAGGAAGTCAACCTCGTCTTCTGCAGGTCCAGGCAGGTCCTTCTAGGTCAATGCAGAGGCTCATGACACTGCTTGAATCTTCAGTAGGAGCTGCTTCTAGAAGCTCCGGAAGATGGGCTGCCGGAGTGGGCTATGGAACGGCATGCATGGGAAGAGGAGCGTTTCATTGATGATATCATGAGGCCTTTGATATTGGCGGTGCTCCAGCACATTCGCATGGATCAGATCGCAGTACAGGACATGACGGCTGGGATCCTGCAGCTTTGAGAGCAGCACAGGAGGCTCAGGAGCAGCGCGAGCAAATTTGGGCGACGTTTGATTCACGTATTCCAAACTGCAGTGCAGGACCTGGAGCTGCAGCAAATGGTGTCGTCAATTAGCGCCCTGGTGTTCAGAGTTCGTTCAGGGACGTGTATAGGAGCTGTGACGGATTCGCTCCCCCTCGTCCCAACACGGATGCAAGACAAGAAGGCGTGGACTCCAAAACACCCGCACAAGACATCCTGCTCTTTCAGTTCCTTGGCCCTTCCAGACCGCCTTGGTGCCAGTGCCACGCCGCAGTCCGCCGCAAGTTCAGGGTTGATTTGGGCCCTCGGCTGTCGGCTTCCCGCCTTTACCAACCCCTCTCCTATGCACCGCGATAGAGGTGTGGCAGAAGCTGCAAGGATGACGGAACTTGACCGGCTCCATCAACTTCTGGATCCAGGGCGGTGGTCTTCAAAGACACAAGTTCTCGAAATAGGTGGTTTTCAGTGGATCTGGCCATCTGCAAACGCAGATTGCGCCCTACACAATTTCAGCCTCCTTTTTCATCATTGCAGACAAAGAACAGACAAGCCCGCAAAGGCCTTTTGATGCTGCAACGCTGTGCTGCTCAGGCAGAAGCCTGCCGCATTACGAGACAGGCGGCGGGCAGTAGCATCTGTTGTGCGGTATTTGTGTTGGAACTGGTGCAGGCTCTACTGAGACTGTTTGCAATCAATGCCTTTAATGAGGCAAGGATGACTTGGCAGACCTGCTGTCCAAGTCATGTCTGGTGCCCTTCCTGGAAGGACCGGACACTGCAAGCAATCAGGTCTTGAGTCAAGGGGGCAATGCCTGAGAAGCATCGCTTGTGAAGGCGAACTTTCTGCATCCTACACAAGCATCAGCGAGAGATGTGGCATCTTCCGAGAAGTTTTGGGTTTGGTCAAGCAGCTGCTGGTCAGCCTACCGTTGCCTGCCACCGATCAGATTCGGTAGCCTGATGTCCTAGCAGAAGCTAAGCTGCTTCTGCCACACACACACACATATATATATATATATGTGCCCGATACCTTTGGGGTCTATATAACCACATTTTGTTATCTTCAGCACAAAATGGAAAGCAAAATGTAATATAGAAGCACAGCCCGAAATAC